CTTCACCACTGTCCTCCGCCTGGCGAAGAGCAGCAGTAGCAGCAGCAGGACTGCAAGCAGACAGCGACGGTGTCAGGGCGTCAGGGCGAGGGTGGCCCCGTCCCCGTCCCGTCCCCATCCCACGGTACTCACTCAGCAATGCCAGGATGCCCCCCAGGATGCCCAGGATGGCGGGGACACCCAGTCCACTCGCGATGTACGCTCGCCGCTCGCAGTTTTTGGCCGGCCCTTCGCAGTCGCACACCTGAGCTTTGACTGGCGTCATCTGTGACTTGCCCTGGCCATCCGTCAGCTTCAGGAAGATGTTGTACTCCCCTGGGTCCAGATCTTTCACCAGGTTCAGTGCCAGCAGATCTTGCAGTGGAGAGAGGGGTTGGACTCAGAGATTGGTCCCGGCTCCCCCATTTGGGGATGCCCTTGGCACCGGTGCAGGGCTTTGCCATGTGGCAGTTCCCCCACCCTGTGGCCATCGTGGGAGCCAGCACCAGCTGCGCTCAGGGGACCGCACAGAGCTGGGGGGGCCTGGGATCTGGCCGTCGCTCCGCATCTCCCCACCATCCCACGCCGAGGGTGTGTGGCCAAGCTGGACCAGGTGACACCTACCTTGTCCGGTCACCTTGACGGTCCAGTTGTTGCCGGAGCCGTGCTCCAGCATTGCCTGGAAGGGGTAGGTGTTGGGGGGCAGGTCCTTGTCGACGATGTTCAGCAACTGCTCCTCGGGCTGCCGGTTGCAGATGTCGAAGATCCGTGGCTCTGGCATGGGCCCGTTGTCATTCACGTCCTGGAGGAGGAGGAGCAGCGTCCCCGTGCCGGTGGCACCCGGTGACCCTGCAGGGACAGGGGTTAGCAAAGCACCTGGGGAGGGGGTCCCAGCCTCCCCAGCCCAGGGGGGCAGCAACAACCCCTTCCCAAAGGGCAAGGCAGGGCACTCCTCACCATTGTCCACAGCCAGGATGATGGCCTTGTACGTGCTGTTGATGGCGTGCACAGACTCTCGATCCAGCGGCTGGGCTGCCGTGACGATGCCATTCTCAGGGTCGATGGCCAGCCACCCCGCGGGGTCACTGCCTATGCGGTACCTGGGACAAGCAAGGGGTCAGCAGGGGAGGACAGGGCACATGGCACAGCACCACACCTTGGGCACCCCAGCATGGCCTCCCACCACCGACCCCCCGACTCACGTAATTTTCTGCCTCTGATCCCTGTCAGGGTCCTGGGCTGTGTAGGAGGTGACCTCGTGCCCCAGCGGCAGGTCCTCCATCACCTCCACCCTCTTGACCGGGGGTACGAAGACGGGGGCTTCATTCACGTCTCCAACCACCACCAGGACGCTAGCCGTGGAGAGCGGCAGGGGCACGGTGAAGGGGACAGAGTTCTCCACTGTCACCAAGAGGTTGTACCGGCTCTTGGTCTCATAATCCAGGCCCTGGGGGGAGCGGGAGAGAGAAGCCGAGGTAGTGCTGGTGGGGACGCAGCCAGAGCTGGGGAGGCTGCCCAGTAGCAGGACCCACCTTGGCAGTTTTCAGGATGCCATTGTTAGTTTTGGGGTCAGTGGTGATGTTGAAGGCACCGTCCTGGTCCCCACTTTTGATGCGGTAGACGGCTTGCCAGGCAGGGGAGCCCTGCATGTCCTGGTCTGTCACATGCAGCTGGGCCACCACCACCCCCACCTCGTTCTCGTTCACCGTCCCCTCATACTGCAAGAAACAGGATGGGAACGGTCACCCATACAGTCCTGGGTGTGGGGGCTCATGCCACGGTGGCCCCAGAGAGGACAGTGGCTTGCAGGAACCGGCTTGGATACCATGGTGGGGTTGAAGACAGGAGGGTTGTCATTGGCATCAGTGACTTCCACGATGGCAGTGGCAGTGGTGGTCAGGCCAGTGCCCTCCTGGTCCGCAGCCTGGATGATCAGCGTGTAGTTGGGAGTGGTCTGCAAGCCAAAATCACCATGTTTAGGGCAGGGAGAGGGCCTGGCATGTTCCCCTCCTCTGGGGCCATCGCCTGCCTGCTCTTCCACCCTTCTCCAGCCACAGAGTTCGCTGCTGGCACAGGCACTTGCTGATGTCCCCACTGCCCACACGAAGGGCCAGCGATCCACCTGCTCCCAGGGCTCAGCAGAGCTTGGTGCCCCTGCAGTATCTCCAGCGCAGATCCCCAGTGGGCTCAGGGCTGCAGACACTCCCAGAGCATGGGACAGTGACCCAGAGATGGCAAGTCCCCAAACTGGCTGGACCTCAGGGCTCTGGCATCCCTGGCTCCCCACAGCAAGTCCGACTGTGTAGCTGCCGCATGGTCCCCCAGGATGAAGCAAGGGCACCCACCTCCCTGTCCAGCCCTGTGCCGATGACACTGATGACGCCCTTCTGTGGGTCAATGGTGAACATCTGTTGCGGGCTCTTGGGCTCCTCGCTAAGGATGGAGTAGCCGATGATGCCGTTGTTCATGCTGATCCCATCGTCTGCATCCGTGGCATTCACGGTCATCACGGACGTGCCTGGGCAGAGGGACAAGCAGGGGAGATTTTACTTGTGGAACAAAACTCACTGCACACCCTGGCACAGCTCTGGCTCGAGGCTCTGCATGGTCCCAGATGTTGGACAACCAACTTGCTGGTCCCCCACGCACCTGGCTTTGCATTCTCCTCAATGTAGCCAATGAAGACTTGCTTGGTGAAGACAGGCCGGTTGTCATTTTGGTCTGTCACGGTGATGATGATCTCCATGGGGTCCTCCACAGACTGCCCGTTGGCTGACACAGCGTGGGAGAAGAGCTGCAGGAGGCACCATCAGCCTACACACAGCCCCAGGGACCGTCCCCTCCCCATCCTGGTCCCCCACTCACGACGTATTTGTCGATCTCCTCTCGGTCCAGTGGTTTTGTCACCTCCAGCCACCCCGTCTCGCGCTCAATGGTGAAGACACCCACGGGGTAGCTGTCCGCCCCCTGCCCCGTGATGCTGTAGAAAACCTTGGTCTCCTTGTCCTTGTTGGATTTGATCTGGTGGCGAGGCAGAGGGGAAGTTAGAGGGGTCCCGGTGCTCCAGGGACTGCCCTGCCCTGCACCCTGTCACCCGCAGGGCCATGTACCTGCACGACCCTCTTGGGGAAGGGCCCCCGATCGTTCTCGGGGCAGTTGATGGGGGGGATGACCCAGTCTCTCTTCTGCCGCCGGAGGCCATGGCCGGGCTTGGGGAAGGTCAGCACGTCAGGCGCCGCGTCCTACAGGGAGAGCGGCTCGGCTCAGTGCCAGCACCTCGCCGAGCCCTCCGCATGCTCTGCCCCAGGGAGAGGGGCTGCGCTGACCCCATGGAAAGGGGCTGTGCTTTACCAGCTGCTGGTGGTGGTGGTTGCGATGGTGCCACCGCCTGCGCAAGGTCACCCTGGCCGAATGCTTCTTGCCCGCGGCATCCCAGGTGTAGACAGAGAAGCTGATCTCCCGCCGCTGGAGCTGCAGGGGCCGGGTTGCAGAGACGACGCCATCCCTGCTCACCTTGAAGCGTGTGTCATCCGAGAGGTACGCGGCACGCCGCTGCTCACCGCAGTCCGCAAAGCTCACTGGGGACAGGGAGAGTGGGTGGGCAGGGGGCCCCCAGTGCTGCCCAGGGGGCAGCTGGCAAGGGCAGGGTGGGTGACCAGGGACCATGGGACAGGCAGCCAGGAGGGCACAGGATAGTGTGACATGGGCACATACAGTGCAGCCACATCTCAGAGTCCCAGGGGGACCGCAGGGTGGCAGGCGCAGTGTGGATGCACGACGCACGGTGCCGCACGCCCTGGTGGGATCCCATCCTGGACATGGGTAGGGTGTGCAGCACGATGCGTGAGCCATTCCTCCCGCGGCTTTGGTGTGGGACCAGGCACGGCACAATCCGCTGTGCCATGGGATCCCTGCTGACCTGTAGCAATGGGGCAAACGGCGCTCAGCACGGTACGTCCCTTCTATAGCACCGTGTATGGCACATCCCTGCGCTCGGCACCACGTACATCGCATCCCTACACAAGGCGCATCCCCACACATGGTGCATCCCTGTGCCGCAGCATGTCCCTACGCATGGCACGTCACCGCTGCTGCGCCCGTGGCAGAGGGCAGAGGGTGCTGCTGGCCCGGCTGCTTTTCAAATAAAAACAAGGGCAGTGCCCGCTCACCTGCGCTGGCACCCAGTCCCCTGGCAGCCCGGCCAGGGCGGCCCTGGAGGCTGCCAGAGCTGATCCACAGGGCACTGCGGGCCAGCGGGTTATGGTACCCCAGTGCCTGGGGACCCATGGGGGTCCCTGAGCCCCCCGCACGGCCGACCACGGCCACACATCTGCAGCAAGGATAGCCCAGGCTGCAGGAGGGGGACACCAACCCAGCCTGCCCAGGCGCCCTCGGCACCTCCGACATCTCTGCTGCAGGGGTGTCCCCAGGGCCAGCAGGCACCCATCACAGATCGGGGCAGACCTGGCGTCACTAGCCTGGCACCCTGCTGGGGCGCCGTACAAGCCGGGATCGGCACGCAGGGGCCACCGCCAGCCCGGGGGGGCGGCTCCGAG